CCAGCGACAAAGTTGACCCCGGACATGTTGCACGCACGGCTTGCGCACGTCGGCGTTGACACAATCAAGAGCTCGGCGAAGCATGAGGTCGCCGCCGGTCTGGACATCAAGAAGTCGACCGCAGCTGATCTGTCGTGTGCCTCTTGCGTCGGCGGCAAACTTGCACGGCACAACTTCCCCGACCAAGGATCGGACGCCGAGAATGCGCTTGATGTGGTGCACATCGACCTCCGCGGGCCATTTCGAGTGGCCGCCAACGATGGCAGCCTCTACTTTCTTCTGCTGAAAGTCGCTACGTGTGGGTGAGGCCGATCGCGAAGAAGAGCAACGTGCTGGTCGTCTTCGAAAAATGGCTGAAGGAGGTGGAGCGGCAGACGTCGAAGACGGTGAAGAAGTTGCGTTCGGACCGCGGAGGGGAGTTCCTCGGTCGCGCCTTTACCGACCTCGTCGAGGACAAGGGAATCCTCCACAATCTGACGTGCCCCTACACTCCGCAGCAGAACGGGATGGCAGAGCGGGAGATGCGCACGGTGGTCGAGGCTGTACGAACGATGCTTCTGCACATGGGCGTGAAGCATCACTGGTGGCACCTCGCTCTGCGACAGGCCGTCTGGGTGCGCAACTGCCTCGAGCGTGCTTCTCTGCCGAAGGGGACGACGCCACACGAGCTGCTGATCGAAAAAATTCCGGATCTTACGCTCGCGCGCGTGTGGGGCTGCATGGTGCAGTTCATGTTCCCCGAGCAGCAGCGCGGTGGGAAGTTGGTGCCGAAGGCCCGTTGGGGTCTCCACCTCGGCGTGTCGCCGGAGAGCAAGGGCTGGGAGGTGCTCGACTTGACGGACAACAAAATCGTCACGACGGTCGACGCGATCTTCTACGAGAACCTGTCGATGGAGAAGTGGAAGGCAGAGTACGGGCCGGCGTCGGCGAGGACGCCGTCTGCCCCGCCGCCGGATTCCTCCTCGGAGATGCCTCCTCTGCTCGCCTTCGACGAGCCTGATGGCGAGGATGTAGAGGAAGTCCCACTCCCTCCTCCTGTTGTGCCCTCGTCGGCCGCCGACGATGAGGGGAGACTTGGTGCGTCGCCTGCGGCGCCGACCGGTTGCATCGCCGGTGGCAGACGTGACGGCGAGAAGGTCGGCGACGGGAAGCGGCAGACGACAAGGGAGCTGTCGGCGTCGAAGCCGACTTCGGCGAAGCCGTCGGCAGAGGCGCCACTTGCAGAGAAGCTCTCGGAAGCGGTGCCAGCTTCAGGGGAGCCGTTGGCAGAGAAGCTGATCCTGGGGGAGCCGTCGGTAGAGGAGCTGCCGTAGGGGAGCAGTTCGACGATGACTCGTCGAGCGACGACGTTGTGGAAGTCGTCGGTGCGGCTGGTGGCGGACAAGGGGAGCAGTCCGAAGACGACGGCGTGGTAGAGGTCGCGGTCAAAAAGGAGAAACCACGCCGTTCTACCCGCCCCAACATCAGCAAGCCGTCTGAGAAGCTGAGCTACCACGCTTGTCTGCCGCCGACGCCCTACAGCACTCGGCTCGACGACGCAGAGGACGATATCGATCTGCCCGAGCTCGACCCTGACATGCACGCCGATCCAGAGCATCGCTGGGACATCGCCAACATGACGGTGAAAGAGGCGTTGGCGAGCTGGAAAGGCAAGGCGGTGAAAGCCGCCATGGACGAGGAGATCAAGAGTCTCATCTCTAACGGGACGTGGGAGCTGGTCGAGCGTCCGCGCGGTGTCAACGTGATGAAGAATCGATGGGTACTCACGACGAAGTACCACGTCGACGACACGGTCGCCCACGAGAAGGCTCGCCTGGTGGTGAACGGTTTCACGCAGGTCTACGGCGCAGACTACGACGAGAAGTACGCGCCGGTGGGGAGCTACGTAACTCTACGGATCTTCCTCAGCATCGTAGCAGTCCTCGACCTGCACCTGATGCGGCTGGACATGAAAAATGCGTTTCGGCAGAGCAAGCTGGATCGCCCTCTACATGTACCAGCCCGACTACTTCAACGACGGAACCGGTCGCGTCTGCAAGCTGCTGAAGAGCTTGTACGGACTAAAGCAGAGTCCGCTGCTGTGGTACTCGGCGCTCGACGCGGTGCTAACCGGCGCCGACTGGAAGAAGAGCTAGGTCGATGAGGCGCTGTACTTCAAGGTCGGCGACGACGGAGTGGCGTGCTGGGTGCTCGTCTACGTCGACGACCTGCTCGCTGCAAGCAGCAGCGCTGCGGTGCTGAAGGAGCTAAAGGAGCTGCTGGAGGCCGCCTTCGAGCTGCGCGAAATCAGCCCGGTCAAGAAGTATCTCGGGCTGGAAATCGTGTGCGACCGTCCTGCGCGAAAGTTGTGGCTTCACTAGCAAGTCTACGTTGACAAGTTGCGTCGCCGTTTCATCGACGAGGAGCAGACCAGGCGAGTGCCGAAGACGCCGGTCTCCATCGACGCCTACGCAGAGCTGGTGTTCGACGACGAGGAGTTTCAGTCGCGCGAGGAAGCAGAGTACCGGCAGAAGGTCGGCTCGCTGCAGTTCGCGGCCACCACGACGAGGCCCGACATTGCATTCGCTTGCAGCAAGCTCGTATCCGGCCTGACAGTGCGGAGCGACAACCACTGGCGTGAGGTCGATCGCTGTCTGCACTACCTCGTTGAAACTCGTGTCTCCGCTCTGGAGTTCGGCGGCGGACCAGAGTCGCTGTGTCTGGTCAGCTATGCAGATGCCGACGACGCTGGCGACAAGCAGAATCGGACAAGCACGGGCGGCTACGTTTTCGTCTTCGGAGGAGCCGCAGTCTCCTGGTCGAGCCAGTGCACCAAGTGCGCAACGCTCTCGTCGACCGAATCAGAGTACGTCGCAACCACGGAAGCTGGCAAGGAGGCTCGCCGTCTACGCTTCCTCCTTGCAGAATTCCGACTGCTCGACCCAAGGAAGCCGACTGTTCTGCACGTGGACAACCAGTCGGCAATCACTGTCGCAGAGGGCTTGGGGCTCAAGGGCAACCTCAAGCACATGGAGCGACGCTACGCCTGGCTCCAACAGATGGTGAAGCGCGGGAAGATTGCTCTGCAGTACATCCCGACCTCCGAGCAGCCGGCAGATTTTCTGACGAATGCGCTGCATTTTCCTGCTTTCAACCGGTGCTCCGTCGCAATCGGCCAAGTGCGTCTGGCCGACGTGGGCGACGGGGATGACGAGGTGCAGCAGTAGGTGCCGTGCCCTTCTGCACGCCTGGTGCGGTGATCTGCGTGCTATGTGGTGGGTGCACGCAGAAGGAATTTTCTCCTTGTATTCTATCCCTCTCGGTTCTGGGTGGACCTTGTGTGTGGGTGCCCAAGCGTGAGCTGGGCAGGGGAGTGTCGAAGAGAAAGGCCCCGCCCTCGCTTGGGCGCAGCCGATCTCGCCGTCGACGAGAAGTTCGCGACGGATTGGTCGACGAAATGGGCTTCTGCAGTTCGACGGAAGTTGGTCGAGCAGGCTCTGCTCGACAAAATCTGGTCGACGAGCTCTGCGCGACGAGCTCTGGTTGACGATCTCTGCGCGACGAGTTCCCGTCGAAGAGCGCTGGTCGACGATCCTGGTCGAGGACTCTGGTCGAAGAGTTCGGGTCGAGGAGCTCTGCTCGGCGAAGGCTGTTCGACCGAGCGATGTCGAGTTGATCGACTGAAGTTAAAGAGCTGTGCGAAACTCTGCGGAGGCGTGCGAACTTTCGCCCATGAGGTTTTGGCGAAGTTCTATCTGCGGAACGGCATCACGTGGTCGACGGTGCGCACCTGGCGAAACCAACGACACGTTTTCTACCTGACACCTGCGCAATGTGCCTGACGGTGAAACTGCCAACCTGCACCTACTTGGTAGGTGCGCACATCTGCGCAGATTGACAACATGCGACTGCAGATAGTCACATGCGACTGCAGTACTGGCAGACTGCGCGCAGTGCAACGCTGGCAGATTACTCTGCTGCAGCGTTGGCAAGCCGCTCTTCTGCTGCGCTGGCAGATTTCGCCCTTGCTAGGTGTTGCATGCCATTCTAGTCATTTTGTTCTGCATGCCTCAATTGCACTATCACCTTTTCATTGCAAGTTGTTCCTTCAATTCCTTAGTGGAAACTCTTGCCAAACTTCTCTGTGAACACATTAAGCAGTAAGAATGCTAGTGCAGGCTACGATCACTCGCACAACCCCGTGCCCTCCTCCGTAGTCCACTCCCGTTGTGTAGTGACTCTCCGCAGCCTCCTTATCGTGACCCGCGTCGCATTCGAACTCGGCAGCTACGAGGAAATGACGGACCACCCTAATTTCTAGTTTTCGATTCCAACGGGCAGTGGCTTTGACAGCGCCCCGCTCCACGATCGCGTCCAATTCCCACGGGCAATCTGTTTTTTTCAAAACAAGTTTGTTGGGCAATAAAACAAACAAATCCTCTGGGGAAGGCATGCAAAGAGGGGATGCATCAACCCTAAACACATTGCCGCAAGGTGTTTAGGGCTGATGCCGCCCAGTCTGACATGCCTTTCCCGAGAGGGTATATTGTTTTTGCCCCGGAAAATAACTTAATATGTGGATTGAGGCCCACAAACTGGCCGTGGGAATTAGACGCGAGCGCAAAGCCGTGCGCTGCCAAAACCACTGCCCATTGGAATTGAAAACTAGAAATCAGGGTGGCCCGTCATTTCCTCACCGGACCTCGCCTTCCGAGTTCCCCGCCTAGCTACCATAGGTCCCTCGCTTTATCTTAGCTAGGCTTCATTGTATTGTGAGTACCGGTAGTTGTAATAAGAGCTTCTTGATTGAGAACTCATAATATCCAACATAACAACCATACAACCCAGTTTGTGGACCAATCAATCAGCTCGCCCCAACCCATCTTCCTTCCTGAGGCGTGTGGGCTCTGTGCCGCCATCCACGTGCTTCCCATCCATCCACTATCGACTCGCAGCTCCTCCACACATACTCACCTGCACGTCTCACCATCCCGCACGCCCTTCCATGGGTGCACCCGCGCATGCGGCGCATGTCCCCGTGCTCCACGGCGGCAGTTCTACGCCGCGCCGTCATCCGCACATCATTCCGCCACGCGCGTCGTCCGCTCCGTCGCTCCGCCTGTCTACTGCCGCTGTCCCGCGCTCTTGTCGTGCGTTCGGCGTCACGCCCGCCTCTCTCCGCGCCCTTCGCAGCCCAGCGAGGCGCCTTGCCGCCCGTGGGGGCGCGCGTGGCGGCGTGCAGTGCAGCGCGGACGTGCCCGACTATCTGCCCGCCTCCTGGTGCGCACTGCGCGTTCCCGCCGTGCAGCCGCCGCACCACCTCCGCGCTCTTTATTAACCCCGCCTTGTGCCCGCAACAAAGCAGCGGTCCGCCCACGTGCGTCCGCCCATGCGGGTCCGTGGAGCAACCCCACCCATGGGGTCAGCACCCCGTTCTACCGCTCCTCCCCCATCGCGCTCTTCCCTCTCGCTCTGCTTCGCTTCTCACGCGCAGCTGCCCCCAAGCTCCTTCCGTTCTCCGCCACCAGTCTCCCTCCAGCCCGCCCTTGACCTGCCCTTCCCCCCTCCCGCTCCCCTGTCCCCCACTTTGGCTGCTCCCGCGGCGAGTGCGTGCGCGGAGTGCAGGGCACGTGGCACGGAGCGCAAGCCACTGGGGCCCAGGCTAGAGGTACTGGGGCTGTGTGGGAAGCGCGCTGGGGAGGTGGGGGTTGATGGGGTGGTTTTACTAGTAGTAGCATGGCGCATTGATACGCGCTGTAGCGTGTTGCATGCACTCAAGGCAACGAGCACCTACGTCCTACGTGCACCCCCTGAGGTGCAGGTCCGTGCCCCCCTGTCCCCTCCCTTCCTTCCCCTCTGTCCCCCGCCCCCGGCAGTGGAGTGCGGAGGAGGCGGTGCAGCAGCAGCTGTGTGCGCTGCAGAGCAATGACGACCCGTACCCCGACCACGGCGTGGAGGTCATGTACCGCGTGCGTGCACCCATGCACCTCTGCTGCCATGCACCTCTGCTGCCATGCACCTCTGCTGCCATGCACCTCTGCTGCCATGCACCTCTGCTGCCATGCTGCAATGCTGCTGCTGCCGCCGCCTCGGCTGTTCCCGCTGCCGCTGCCGCTGTTGTGCGAGCGTGCATGCCCATCAGTGTGCCACCGTACGTGCTGCCTCTTGCCTCACTCACTGAACTCGCTATCATGACTTCATTTTAAAGTTCTCTAACTCCCTTCAACCTGCATCTTTGCTCTTTACTCCTTCCCACCCTTCCTCCCCATCCCTTCCTTTCAGTTTGCAGGGTTCGACCCATTTGAGCGATCGCGGTACTTTGGGCCGCGCTTTGACCTGGGGCAGGTGAGGGCACGCGCCCACATGGCACCGTGCTGCATGAAGTGCCTGCCCTCGTGTCTTGTGCTCGCCACACATGCGCCCTGCGCCAGTCTGCCTCCGCCCATCGCTGCACACCACCCGCGTCACACCACTCCATTCCAGACCTCTCTGCCCGGCCCCCCACCCGTGCTGCACCACTCCCCCCAAGCTTACTTGGACTTACCTAACATCAACACAAGGACCATCCCCCCCCTTTTTTTTTTTTTTTTCCCTCAACCCGCCCGACTAAACTCTGGTTAACATGGTTAACGTTAATTGGCTTCAGTTAACCTTGTCCTCGAAAACGTTTGAGGCCAGCTTAGCCCCCACCCCCTCATACTTCTCCCCACATTCGTTCACTATTTTTCGTACGTCCTCTGTTCACGAGGAGTGATTGTCCCTCTTAAGCTGAGTGCAACGTCCCACAAGTACTCCCTTCATTGTTCCCCACCACCACTGTTTTTCCCCCACGCCCTCCCCATCTCGCCTGGCCCACGTGGCAGTTTGAGAGGTTTCGGCGGCTCTTCCACCACACGCACTACCGTGTGCTGCTCTCCCACAAGCGCCATTGCCTCCTCTCCTCCTTCTACGTCTCCCCAGTACCCACCACCCCGTCCACTCCTCATCATCCATCCATTTGCCCTTGCTCGAGCTTCTCTGACCTGCCACGTTTCCCTCTGCATTCTGCTTTTGAGAACTAGAAAATTCACCCGTTTTTGTTTTACTCCTTCCACCTTTTTTTCAACCCTTGAGCCTGTGTGGTCCTTCCCCTCCCTCTCCTTCCCACCCGTAACCGTGTGCGGCATGCATGTGGGGGGTGCAGGCGCGCATGAAGCAGAGGGTGGAGGTGGAGGGGGTGCGGCCGGGCGAGCTGGAGGTGTTTGAGTTCACGCTGGAGCAGGTGAGCGCATGGGGGTGGGGACTCCAGTGGACAGAGCAGATAGGGGTACGTGGGGGCAGGTAGGAGGCGGCGGGGGAGGCAGGGTTGGTGGCGCGTTTGCGGTATTGGCATTGGCGCTTGGTGGTTGAGGGGCTGAATCGTGCTGTTGCTTCCGTGCAGCCTTGCACGCCCACATGGGTGCTCACGGTGGTGCTGGGGGGATGACACGGAGAGGCGTAGCAATGGTGAGCGAGTGTGAGGCACGTGGAGGCAGTGCACAGCAGCAATAGTGGTGCATGTGATGTGCCTCTCCTTCAAATTGCCTCACCAGGGTACACGTACATGTTCCCCTCATTATGCATGCACACATTTTGTTCCCCCTTCCCCCCTCCCCTCCACTCCCCACCTGTGGGTTCGCCGTGGCCTTCCCTGCTCTCCACGCCTGCCCCTGGGGCGGTGCGTGGTGGTGGCAGAGGAAGGGCGGCAGCTGGGACGGGTACTGGTTCACGGAAAGTTTGGTGCACGACGGCGAGGGGCTCACTGGAGGCGTGGCGTACTAGCCATGCACACATGCATGCATGGCACTCCGAAGGCATGCCCCACTGCACTACTAGTTGAGCAACTTGATTCGCCCATGTGGGCCGCACCACTAGCTGGGCAACTTGATTCGCAGTCTTGTTGTAATGCATTGGTATCTGCATGACAGAGGTCTATAAGGTCACCTTTACCGTATCGGCCCACATAGTACACCCAGGTTTTGCCGTCACATTATCCATTACCTAACCCCCCCTAGGACATAATACCGTACCAGGGCGAGGAGCTGGGTCTGAATGAACATCCTTGCAGCATACCCTAAGAGCTTGTTCCTACGGCCTCATATCAGGCCACCTCGTATCAAGATTGTACTTATTGCCTGGTAAAACTAGCGAGAGGTTTTGGGTTTAGGGGAATTTTCAGTGTGAGCCTGATATGAGCCTGATGTGAGCCCTCCTCCCCTTTCCGAAATACCTCATCCGCCCAGATAGAACCCCCCCAGTTGATTGGGCCTAGGGGCTTATTGGTAATACCGTAACCCCAATTTCCTGCAATTTTTGCATGACACTGTTCTCTCAGAAGATGCCTAGACATTCAATCGTATGCACATTCCTTCTTCGTGCAAGGCACAACACGGATTTCGTTCGATAACGAACCTGCTTTCATGGGTCTCCAATATTTGGTTGACATCGTTCCCTCTCAGTTCAGTACAAACGGTTGAGCACGATGATGAGCGCTTTCGTAGCGGTTTTCACGCCTCACCACTCTGAACCAGCCTGAACATTCATGCATGAACATTCGGGACCAATGCCAAGAAGGCAAAAGAGGTCTGGATTGTTCTCGAACCTTCTCCACCTTCGCAGCCTACACTTATAAAGCCCTGCTTCAGCCATTTACGCAGCTCATTTTCAGCCATCCAACCAAGTTTGATCATCTCCTGTTTCGTCCACTTGAACTGAAATTAATCGCCGTTACAGCCATGGGTCAGCTTCGCCTTGGTGTCACTCTTACCGCGGCTCTCGTCTGCGTGTTGGCGCTCATAGCCGCAGCTGCAGCAGCCAAAGACCTCTATTCCGTAAGTCGCCGCTCATCCGTGCACGCCTCTCTCGGTACCTCGCGGTTCTCGTGCGCACCTGACTCTCGTGTCTCGCACTTGCTTCTCGCGCTCAAACCTTACAGCACTTCATGGTCTCTCCTCGTCTCTCCCTCGCCACCAGGTGCTGGGCGTGGAGCGGGCGGCCAGCGACAAGGACATCCGCAAGGCCTTCTACAAGTCAGTGCCTCGCCCCTTTGCCTCCCTTGCTCCCCCTTCGTCGCCTCATGCTCGCTCGCCTTCCGTCACCGTCACCGTCGTCGCACGCTAGTCCGTCCTCTTGCCGCCACGCATGTGGAATCTCATCGATTTCGTCTTTCCACTCCTCTCGTGCGTCCCGTGGCCTATCTGTGGCGCGTGTGCGCGGTGCAGGTTATCGCTCAAGTACCACCCTGATAAGAACCCCTCCAAGTCAGCCAAGGCCAAGTTCATGGAAATCTCTCACGGTACGTCACTCTCACGTTCCTGCGCCCACGCTCGCCTTCGGCCTTCGCGCCTTCCTTTTCCCTTGTCTTAATTAGACCTGTGCCCTGACGCCTATCTGTGTTCCCGTGTCGTCCGCCCCCCTGCAGCGTACGACGTGCTGTCGGATCCGGACAAGCGCACGCAGTACGACCTCATGGGGGACCCCTCCGACCCGCCACACTCCGCGCACTCCGCGCACTCCTCCAGTGGGCGCACCAAGGCGGGGGGGCAGCACCAGTGGCAGGGCGGGCCAGGCTTCAGTGGCTTTGGGTGGGGTGAAGGCGCGGGGGCGGGAGGAGGAAAAGGGAGCAGTGGAGGGAATGCGTACACGTATCGCTTCTCCTCTGGCAATGGTGCGGGTGCAGGAGGCACAAGCGGCAAGTCGTCGTCCTTCTCCTTCTCCTCCTCCGGTGCTTCCCCCTTCTCATTCGCCTCCTCTGGCTCCTCCGCTCCCAACGTTGAGGAGCTGCTTGCATCCTTCGGCATGGGAGGCATGGGGGGTATGGGTGGTATGGGGGGCATGGGGGGCATGGGGGGCATGGGGGGCATGGGGGGCATGGGTGGCATGGGTGGCATGGGAAAACAATTTGGCAAGGCGTTTTCGTCGTCCAAGTCGCGCAGTGGCAAGAAGCATGGGCATGGTGGAGCGCCGAGCATGGAGGAGCTGCTGGCGGGCTTCATGGGTGGCGCTGCTGGTGGTGGCCCCTGGCACGGTGCACAGCAGCGCAGCAAGGCGTCTGCTGGCGGGTTCAGCGGAGGCCAAGGATTCAAGTCCTCAAGTTCGTCCAGCAAGGCCCGCACAGCCAACCAGAGGGCCAAGACAGCGGGTTCAACTGGGGGTGGAATGAAGGGTCAGAAGAAGGCTTATAGAAGATAAGGCAGACACTGGGAAGCCTTAAGCTACAAACGTGAGAGTGGCCATGTACATAGTTGGCGGCCCAGAAATGCCAATTCAGAAAGAGTGTCCTTACAGGCGATGGTGGGATCAGGAAAAGCTGATCACTGTGCCTTGGATGCAGTGCCTTTTTTTTGTCTCTCGTACTGTAATTGATCCGTTTGTAAAAACAAACAAGCAAACAAATGTCGGAAATTCCCTTACCTCTCTCTGCCCTTGGTGGTTTCCCTCTCTCTGGCGCTCTGTGTCCTCACTCCTTGACCCACACTCAGTCATGTCTTCTGTGGTGCTTACTTCCCTTATTTCTGGCTTGGTGTAACCTTCCTGCTGCCTTTACTGCTTCTGACCATTGGTATCCCTTTGCCCCCTCCCGTGATCCTGCGCCGCCCTCGCCCTAGTCACGGGACCCTGATACCCTGCCACCCTGCCTCCCGCACGTGCCACGTTCGTGATGTGATCCACTGCTCGTACTCCTGCCTCGCTCTCCAGCACCAGCACCCCTGAATCGCGCACTTCCTTCACCGTCCAACGCTGCTGTGAAAGTCCCACATCCAGCCCATCCTTCTTAGGGCGCCGTATGTACACCTCCTGTCCCTGCTGTAGCGCCTCTGGTGCTCCACTTGCCCTCTGCTCCTGTCTCTGCCGGTAGCGGTGAATGTCCCGCAGACTCTCCAAGGCCGCTGGCAGCAAGCGCCTCAAGTATTCTCCCCTAACAGCTGCCAGTGCTGCCCACTTCTCAGACGTACCCGCCGTAACCACATCTGTCAGAACTCGCGGTGCCCCCACCGGCAGAACTGCCTCTCGGCCAAAGAGGAGATGATAGGGGGACAGATCCCTGAGTGCCGCCTGCTTGCTAAACCTGTATCCCGCCATTATCCAGTGCAGGTGCCTGTCCCAGTCCCGCTTCTTTGTCTCTCCATACGCTCGCAGCCCACGCTTCAAGGTCTGGATGAGCCTCTCGGTTAGGCCGTCACTCTGCGGATGATACCTGGACGTGGTGCGATGAGGAATCAAGCACGAGGCCAGGAGCTCCTCGAATTCCCCTTGGAACTCAGTACCCTGGTCTGTCAGCACTTCCCCACATGCCCCAAAGCGCGTCAGAACTTGTTCTTCGAAGGCTTCTGCCACTGCTCCAGCTGTCTTGTGACTTACGGCCCGCACTTCCACCCACTTGCTCACATGTTCAATCATGACCACCACATATCGCCGCCCTCTCTTGGTTAATGGCAGTTCTCCTGCCAGGTCCAATGACCACCGATAACCCAGCCCCACGACCGGCAGAGGCTGCAGCTCAGCCTTACTCCTCTCGAAAGCCGCTCGATTCCTGATGCAGGCTGGGCACTTGGCCACCCAGTCTTTGATCTCCCGGCGCATTCCTGCCCACCACCACCCCGTCTGCAGCAGTTGTTGCGTACGAAGCGGGCCAAAGTGCCCCAGCTTGTTATGTACCTCCTGAATCACACCTTCCCGTTCCTTTGGTTCCGGCACTCTCTTCCATCCATCTTGCGTCCTGATCTGCACTTGGTTCTGGTACCAGCGATAATGCTGCCCCCTGCTTCGAGCCCTTGCCGAAACCACCGCTCCTTCTGCAGTTTCCCCGCGCAGCCATGCCAGCGTCTCCTGATCTTCCCACACATCCGTAGCTCCTGCCTGCTGCTCCCTGCGTAGCGGTGTCACGGGGTCTGTCACTAGTGCTGCCAGCGCCATTTCTGGTGCTACTGCCGGCGGATTCCTGGATAAGCCATCCACGTGCTGCATGGTTTTCCCCGGGCGATGCCTAATAGTGAACTGGTATTCCTGCAGCTTCATCGCCCACCTGGCGTTCCTCCCCGTGAGACTCTGGTTCTGCATCAGCCATAGCAGCGGCTGATGATCAGTGACCAGCGTAAAGGGTCCTCCTTGCAGGTACACGCGAAAATGTCCCACTGCCCACACCGCGGCCAATCCCTCTCCCTCATACGATGAGTAATTCGCCTCCGCCGGGTTGCACGAACGGCTGGCGAAGGCCACTACCTTCTCCTCCCCTCCTTCCTGCTGGCTTAGAATAGCTCCCATACCCGTGCTGCTCTAGTCCGTGTAGAGCACAAAGGGTTTGTCTGCCCTTGGCAGCTGTAGCACCGCGCCTTTCTTGACTGCTCCCATCAGATCCTTGAGTGCCACCTTCTGCTGCTCACCCCACTGCCACCTGGCCTCGTCCTTCAGCAGCTTGTTCAATGGTGCTGCCCTCCTGCTGAAGTTCTCCACGAACTTACGATAGTAGTTCAGGAATCCCAGCAGGGACCTGAGTGCGCTCTTGTCCTTGGGCTGAGACACCTGGTCTAGAATGGCCACCTTCGCTTGTTGTATAGCCAACTTCCCTCCCACCACTTCAAATCCCAGGTACGTCACTGCCGTGTGCCCGAAGCGGCACTTCTTCGGGTGACAGGTCAGCCCTGCTTCCCTTATCCTTCGCAATGCCTCGGCCAACCGCTTCACATGTTCTTCTGGCGTAGTGCTGAACACTATGACATCGTCGATGTAGCACAGGGCCCCCTCCATCCCACGTAGCACCGCATCCATCACTCTCTGAAACAGCAGCGAAGCGTTCTTGAGGCCAAAAGGCATCCTGTTCCACTCGTATGCGCCGTCCGGTCCGTGGAAGGCAGACTTCGCTTTATCTGCCTCTGCGATGGGGATTTGATTAAATCCTTGCCTCATGTCCAGCGTGGAAAACACCCGCGCCTCCGCCAGCTGATCGAAGAGCTCGTCCACCATTGGAGTGGAATACCTTTCAGGGACTGTCACCTTGTTCAGGTCCCGGTAGTCGCCGCACATGCGACGCGCCAGCACGGTCCCGGTGAGATCCATTCTGGCCGCCACCACTGTTGCCGCCGCATACTTCGATTCTGACCGACGTATGAGCCCTGCCTCCAACAGCTCCAGGCACTTCTCCTTGCATATCTCCAGGTCCTGTGGGCTCATTCTGCGCCTCCTCTGGTAAACCGGCACCGTAGTGGTTAGCTCAAGTGTCATGACCGCGCAGTTGCAGCATCCCAATTCCTTCAGCGAGTAGGCGAACGTCTGTCGATGCGAAGCCAGCAGGGCTTCTACTGCTTGCCGATGTTCCCCTTGCAGCCCTTCTCCCACGTCCCACGAGCACTGCTCCTCCTCCGGTCTTGCTGCCCCGCCCATTGTTCTCTCGTGGGTCTCTTCTCCTCCTGGTGTCTGCGGGTCTGCCTCGGTTGTCGTCGCGTCCAGCGCCATGAATGCTGGCCCTATGGGTGGCCAACCTGGTGGGTCGAAATAGTCGTAGAATCCTTCTCCCATGTCAAAGTCTGAGTCATGAAACTCCTCTGGGGTGTCCCCTCTGCCCACACCCGATTCTTCTTCCATTTCTTCCTCTGCCTCTTCTTCCCAGTCTTCCTCGCTTTCTTGTGGGTCTGCATATCGTCCTGGTATGGCTTCTCTGTCGTCCCTCCAGTTGGCTCGCCTGTGCTCCTCCGGGATCTCCACCACTGGTTCTCTTCTTTCTCTTCCAGTCCTCCCAGCATTGTCCATGCTTCCGTCTCCTTATTCGCCGCCAGTTGTGTTTGTGGCCTGACCGCCGTTGCCTTGCCGATGCGCCTCTCCAGCCATTTCCTCTCGAGATGGTTGGCCATGGTCATGAACAGCCACTGTAGTGCGTTTAAATCCATAGCCCTGCCCAGCGCCGCCCTCCTTTCTTTCTCCGTCATCTGCTCACATGCCGTTGCGCCTGCCAGGAAACCCATGGCCAGTTCTCTCTCCTGTGCTGTGGGCTCTTCCCACACTCCACGTGCCTGATCATATACCATGCCCGGGTCCGCATCATCCTTGAAGCCCCTCGCGTTCTCGTATGATACTAGCGTTGGCCATGCCTGCCGAGGCTCTCCCACCTTGTTGCATGGGTACAGCGTGGGGTGGTCCGCTTCCGTGACCGGCGCCGCCAGCCTCCCTGGCTCCAGAATATCTTCCACCCGCCTCGCCCTTGGTCGCTCCATCCGTGACAGCTGATACCTCAGCGCCGCTTCTGGCACCACGTTTTGCCAGTACCTCCTCGGCCGGTGCGCTCTGCTCCCATTCTGTACTGCATCCCACGCCACTCCTGCCCCCAGTTCCTCCGTGATTTCTTCGCTGGCTGCTTTTATGGTCATCGGCCATGTCCACATTCTCGATGATGTAAGCCACCTCCCCTTGCCGCTTCTTAATCATCTTCAGCACTCGCATCAGGTCTCTGAATTGCGCGCTCCGCGCGTCTCCCATGCCTCGGCCCCTCCCTGCTCGGGACAGCCCTTGACAGCTCCACCCCGCGATAACCAAATCAATCCGTCCCCATTGCGCCAGTAGGCCGTCGTCAATCTCCTCCACTCCGCTGCATAACCACTCTGCTCCCCTTTCTGCCGCTTCTTCCATTAACTGTTCAGGATACCTGGCTTTGAGCAGCTTGAGATGGTGCCATGCCATCAAGTTCGCGCCGCCGTCATTGTCCACGTACAGGTACTTGGCCACTGTGTGTCCTGACTTTAGCACCGCCGCCAGTCCAGTGGCTATTCCGCCGTACAACTCCAGTATCACTAACGGCTTTTGGAGTGCTCGCAGGTTCAGTACAGGTTCTCGCAGGTTGTCGCTGGCCCCCCAGATCTCTTCGTACTATTTCCTGGCAGACTCCGTTTGCCCCATTTCCTTCCACGTCATGACGCCCAGCTCTTCTTCTAGCGGTTTTTCCATCGCCTGATAGGCCTCCCTTGGTTCCCTTCTGATGAACCGCACTGGTAGCTCTGCCAGCTCACTGTCGTGCTCCCAGTAGGTCACCCGATACTTCAGCCGTTCTTCCCACATGCAGATGGTGGTGCCGATGGCAAACAAGTACTCCACTCCCAGCAGTAGATCGTAATCTTCTGATGTAGACACTCCACAGTGCATCCGCACTACGCACTCGTCTTGATGTCCAGGCCGTATCACGATTTCCACCGTGCTGCGGGTTT